TATGATTGTTTTCCTGTAAGAGCCTGAGCCAAAGGCCAAGAGGGAAAATTGTGTAGGAAAGAGTTGACTTAGCTGGTCAACTCAAGTTGTTCAAACCCTGCACATTCTCAGAAGTCTGTTTTCATGAATGCCCCTCGTCCAACTACTGGGAATTGAGCTCTTGGAATATTTTAAGTTATAAAAGTGTTTTTGCACACTTGGAGCTTTGAACCACACTATACCACTATGTCTAGGTAGTCTGTGTAAATAATGTGACTTATGGTGAATACTTGCTTTCCTTAAGGTGGTCTGTTTTGGTAACTGATCAATCACACAGGCACTGTGTGCCTATATGACCAAACTTCAATAAAAACTCTAGAATCTTAGGCTCAAGTAAACTTCCCTGGTAGACTACAGTTCACACATGTTGCTACAATTTGTAGATAGAGGAATTAAGTACATCCTGTGCAGTTCCACTGGAAGAGGACTCGTGGAAGCTTGTGCCTGGTTTCCTCCAGAGTTTGCCCCATGTGTCTATTCCCTTTCCTGATTTTGCTTTGCATTCTTTTTCTATAATAAATCATACCCACGAACATAATGAATTTTGAGTCCTGTTGAGCCCTGGGAGTGGTCTTGGGGATCCACAACATAGGCACACTAGAAAATATCTAATTAACATAAAAAAGCAGTAGTGGAGGAATAGAGGAACAAAATAAATATATAAGATGCATAGAAAACAAGTAGTAAAATGGCAGACATAAATCCTACTTTATCAGTAATAACATTAAATGTAAATAGAAGAATAACAGCAGACTTATCAAAAACATGCAATAAAGATAGTGAAGAAACGTCTTTATAGTACTGAAAGAAAAAAAGCTGCCAACCTAGAATCCTATACCAGTGAAATATCTTTCAAAAGCAGAGGTGAAATAAAGACTTTTTCAGACACACTAAAGCTGAAAGAATCCATTACTAGGAGACCTGCACTGTAAGAAATGCTAAAGGAAGTCCTTTGGGTAGAAGGAAAATAATACCTGATGGAAATCTGGATCTATACAAAGAAATGGAAAGCACTAAAAATGGACAAATAAAAACGACTTTTTCCTTATTTCTTTGTACATCTTTTTAAAAGATAACTGTTGAAAGCACAAAATAATAACAATGTATTATAGGATTTAACATGTGTAGAAGTAAAATGTATGACAATAATAGCACAAAGACTGGGAAGGGGAGAATGGAAGTATATTGTTTAAGTTATATTATACATGAAATGGACTGTGATAAGTTAAAGGTGTACACTATAAGCCCTAAAGGAACCACTAAAAAAATAAAGCATTATACCTAATAAGCCATTAAAAGAGATAAAATGGAATCATAAATAATGATTAATCCAAAAGAAGGTAGAAAAAGATGAAAAAGCGAATAAAGAACAAATGGGGGACTAATAGAAGGCAAACAGCAAGATGGTAGATTTAAAACCAATCATATCAATAATCACATTAAATGAAAATGGTCTAAACATCCCAATTAAAAAGCAGAGACTGTCTAATTGAATAAAAAAGCAAGGCCCAACTCCAGGCTGCCTACAAGAAACCCATATTAAATATAAAAACATAAATAGGCTAAAAGTAAAAGGATGGGAAAAGATATATCATACTAACACTATCAAAAGACAGCTGGAATGTTTATATTAATATCAGCCAAAGTAGATTTCGGAACAAGACTATTACCAGGGATAAAAGGAGACATTTCATAATGATAAAGTGTTAATCCATCAAGAGGACATAACAATCCTAAAAGTTTAGGCACTCAACAACAGAGCTTCAAAATACATGAGGCAAAAACTGATAGAATTGAAAGGAAAAACAGACAAATCCAAAATTTTAGCCAGAGATTTCAACACCTCTCGATAATTGATAGAATAGACAGAAAATCTATAAAGAAATAGAAAACAAACAACACTATCAACCAACTAAACCTAACTGATATTTATAGAACACAACACCCAACAAGAGTAAGATACACATACTTTTCAAGCACACAAGGAAGATCTACCAAGAGAGACTATATTTTGGGCCATAAAACAAAGTTCAATAAATTTAAAGTGATTCAAATGATAAGTATATCCTCTGAATTAAATTAGGAATCAGTACCAAAAAGGAATCTAGAAAATTCTATAAATATTAGGAAATTAAAAAACACACTCTAGGAGCCATCCCAGTAGCATAGTGGTTAATTTTGCGTGCTCCACTTCAGCGACCCAGGGTTTGCGGGTTCGGATCCTGGGCACGGACCTACATATCGCTCATCAAGCCATGCTGTGGTGGCATCCCATATACAAAAAGTAGAGGAAGATTGGCACAGATGTTAGCCCAGGGACAATCTTCCTCACCAAGAAAAATAAATAAATAAAAATACCCAACTTAAAAAAAAAATTCTAAATAACCCTAGATCAAAGAAGAAATCAAAGGGGAAATGAGGAATTACTTTGACCCAAATGAAAATGAAAACACAACACATCAAAATTTGTGGTCTAACAGCTAAATCAGTATTTATAGGGAAATTTATGTCATTAAATCCTTATATTATAAAAGTAGAAATGTCTGATATCAAAGTGTGGCCTCCAGACCAGCAACATCAGCATCACCTGGGAACTTAGAAATGTTAAGTCCTTGGGCCTTCCTCCAGAGTTACCCAATCAGAAACCCTAGGGGTGAGGCCCAGCCACCTGTGGCCCTCCAGGTGATGCTGATGCACATTCACCTTTGGAGAAACTGCTGTATACTATTTGAATGTCATTTTATTGTGTTAGGTTTCTTTCTTCAACAAGGAATCTACACAGTTTATACTCATCTGAAGTTCATGTCATTAAAAACAATCTTGTTTTGAATAGTCTGTTAATTTTGTGTGTTTTAGAAAATTTCCTGGGTCCCAAGAGTCCTGCAAGTGATAAACCCTACAAATAATGCCTCATTTGCTAAAAAGACCCAAATTTCAGAAGATAAAGTTACAATTTATCCCGAAATCTGTAGGAGGGTAGAGGACAAATACCAGTGGGGAATCTGACCTCATTGAATAATTCCTACTGTTTACATTGAATAATTCTGTTTCCTCCATGTGGGAACCAAATGTAGTCAACTCCCAATCATGTTCAGCGATGAAAAGGAACCGAGACACGTTAAATCTAAATGGCTGATAATATAATTTGCTTGAAATATAGTTTTATACCTACACTTGAATATTAACTTGTCTGATGTTCTAGAAAGTCACTGCAAACAAAATATTGAAGCCCTCACATAAGCACTAATTCAGAAGCACTGACTCTATAGTGGTAGCCATCACCTTTCCAACTAATTTAATGCATCAATCTAAAGCAGAGCCAGTCTCTATCTAAATTTGCTGGCTCACAACTTTCCTGGGACAGGGAGATAAAGACTTTAGTTTTGATGGGCTTCAGTTACAGCTTCTGCTAATAAGGAATAAACAAAATCCACACTGTATCAAGATACTTAAGTGACAAGTATAGATGATAATTTTAATAAGAACATGAGAGCAACATTTGCCATGGAAGAACTGTAATATGGGTAATCTATCAATTAATCTCAGTTTATTATGACAGTCTTCAAAAATAAAGGGAAAAATATAGTGAAGTCCTTCTAGTATTCCTAGGCTCCAAAGGGAAAATGCAGTCCATTCTACACCAGCTTTCCTTACTTTCCCCAATCTTTGCTGATTTTTATTAGCTTTGGTTCTTTCTAAGACACTGCCTTCTGCTTTTCTCTGTTTTTTTTTTGTTTTGTTTTTTTGAACAGAGGCCCACAATAGCTGCCTATAGGGCTATGAGAGTATAATTAATCAAGTTATCAGCCAGCAACCACTGTTAAAATGTTTTATTATCAATGTAAAATGAGATCAGGGTTTTACAAGCAAGTTTTAGAACATAAACATTGATTTCTAAAATGGTTTATCTTCTTTTCAGAAGCCTAAATACGAACACATATAAATCTTGGGGATTTTTAAAAATATGGTATTTTGTCCTATTTTAATACATCTACAGTTGACAAACATGCAAAATAACAAATTTCCAAATCAAAGGCATCTAGTAGAAACATCCAAATTAAAAAAGCATTTTAATTTACTCATTGGCCATAAAACCCAGCAAAAAATTGTCCTTTCCCCCACACTTCAAAAAAACCACCACCGGGCCGGCCCTGTGGCTTGGTGGTTAAGTGCGCGCGCTGCGATGCTGGTGGCCCGGGTTCGGATCCCGGGTGCGCATCGAGGCACCACTTCTCCGTTCATCCTGAGGCCGAGTCCCACATACAGCAACTAGAAGGATGTGCAGCTACGACACACAACTATCCACTGGGGCTTTGGGGGGAAAAATAAAATAAATAAAATCTTTAAAAAAAAAAAACCACCACCAATTCCTTTCTAGGGCTCTGATGGCATTAACAGCACTTAGCCCTCCCTTGTCAACATCCAGACAACCTTGTCAATCTATGTAAATTAACGTTACAGTTCCAGTTGCTGGAAATGTCCCACCATTTTCTTCACTGCATTACACTTGGCAAGGCACCTACCAACAATGCACAGGGTAGGAAATGAGTCATGAAGAACATAATGGCTTGACTGAAGAACTAACCATATATCCTGGGTTTGCCAATTGAGTGAGGATATTAATGGAAATGTAAAATTCCAGGAGGCATTCTTTTTCTATCCTCTCCAAGTTACCAGCATGTACAGTACTGGGATGTAAAGAGTAGAGGAAGGTGGCAATAGCCACATACATGAAATCTCCCTAGAACTAAATGCAAACTATAGTGGGCCAAAGAACTGACTCCTGTTTGGGTTTTATTTGTGGCCACTTCAAGCAACCTCCAAACTGAGAGGTTCATAAATTAAGGAACAGTTTTAATGCACTGAGGGATCAGCAACTTGCAGAACAATATTATTAAAATATTTTCTAAGAATTGTGCTTCATTGTTGAATTTTGTGCCAACAGTCAAGAAATAACCAAATAAAATAAATAAACCTGAAATATTTCCTTTTTACTATACCCATTTCCAAAAATTACAAAGCATCTTTAACGTAATTTTCTCTGCCATTCCTCAAGTGAATTAGTAAAACAGGTAGAAACTCAAAACATAACTGTAACATTACACAAGATAAGTTTCCTTCAATAATTTAGTCTGTTCCAAAGTATTTCTGTCCAAAGTGTGTAGGTGCAACAGGATGAACTTCAGTAGTTAAAATTGTGATCTCTGGAAACTCTTGAATGATTGATCTGGCACCTTCAAAAAATAAAAGGAAAAATGTTATGGCAGGATATTTTGGTAATATTGGTTGAAATTCAGAAATTTTACAGTCAGGCACTAGGTCTAATATTGACAGAGGACAGCAAGCAATGACCTTTGGATACCTAGTCAGACTTGGTTAATCTCTTAGTTTATATAATGTCTGATATCTGAAAAGCTCTGATAGTAGTCAGACTATGCCCCTTCCCCCTCACTTATAAATTCTTAGAATAAAACTGTTTTATATCTAAGATTTGAAAAATATATTCAGTTATAGCAACTTTCCCCTTGAAGAGTATTCTAAAAGCAGTTGAAATAGAGAGAATACAGTCCTTTCTGGAAACAGAATCATATATAAGATCATGATTTCTCAACTGGAACACTGTGAAACAAGTGCAAAGACTTCTTTGGTACGTCAGAGCAAGCTAGCTTTTTAGAAGTTACGACTCTAGCTTTGGGGGGTGCAGGGAAAGGGACTAGCTAGGACCCCAGTCAAACTAAAAAGCCATAGCAAGGGTCCCATAGGATAAGATTTTTTCATCTATAATGCTAAAGAATAGTATACTGTTTTAATATATACTATTAGATGCTAGATCCAATGCAGTTACTTTTCTACTGCCAAAGGCAGAAAATCCAATAATTATTTGGTTATCTCAATGACCACAATGCCACCTCTGGTATATATAAATGGATGACCAAGCAAATCAGTCTGTCATCATCAACATTTGAACTACAGGTAATTTTTTATTATCAAACAGCAAAATAATCAATGGCCTACTGAATGCAGCCCTCCCAACTGGGTACTCTAGCCTCTTCAGGGTTGGCTGAGACTTGGAACTTTTGGAAATGAGGAAATGCTCTAACTAGAAGTTACATATTTCTCTTTCTTTTCAGTTATAAAACAAATACAAATTCATTGTACAACATTTGGAAAATGCAAAAAAGAAAAGCTTAAAAAATAAAATCAATCACTTAGAATCCCACCATCCTAGGATAATCCCGATTAATACTGTGTGTGTATTTTAAAATGAAGATTAAAATAGTACTCTGCATCTGTGTAGCCTCTTATCCTAAGGAAAGATTTATTAGGTTCCATGTTAAATCCAAGCCTGATTTTGATAGTCATAATAGTCACAATTTGTATTAGTCATCTCTAATCTTGTTTTTAACATTTTACACTATTCTAATGTTATTTTTTATCCTGCTCTTTTACATTTACCACATAGATTTTTTGATGTCATTAAATATTTTTCAAAAACATGATTTAACAGTTACATAATATTAAATCCTTTGAATATATAGTTATCTAACCATTTTCTTATTGTAAGTCTATTTATATAGTTTCAAACTTTTTCTTACACTAAATATAACTCTACAATGAATACCCTAAAAGCTCAATTTCTACATGTATCTATGATTATTTTCTTCGGGTACTTTCACAATTGTCCTAGATTGTAAGGCAAAAAACTAGTGTCTTAAATTAGGCTTACCTTTCTCGGGAAATGGAGAACACACAGTTCTCTCACCAAGCCCTTTGAGCAGAAGTCTAACTTAAAAAACTTCTGCTCTTTGCTTCACACTGCAAAGCTTACTTCACTAAGATCACCGGGCTAGCTAGAATCTCAAGTTTCTTGCTGTTTAGTAGCAGTTCTCAGGCTCGGGTGGGCAGTTAGGAGAAACAGGGACCTTTTAGCCATTTGCAGGCTCTACCCAAACAGGGCCCAGGAAAACAATTGCAATGGGGCTAGTTCATACTTTCCTACTTGAATTTGAACAACATTAGAATGGTGTAAAATATTATCACTGAGCCTAGATATGATGAACACAAGTTATAACTACCAAAATTAGATTTAGATTTAATGTTGAAGTAAATGAACTTTTCCTTAGGATGAGAGGCTGGACAGATGCACACATACCTACCCCAATACCATCTGGAGCCCCAGTTACTGTCTCATGCTGAACTCACCATGAGGAGTGGAAAACAGACTGAGTAGGATGATAACACTGGGTTGAACTCCATGTTCTATAAGGACCTTTACAGCTTCAATTACAGTATTTCCAGTGCCTGAAACCAAATGAGAACCAAATGCATTAGAAACTAACATTTATCTCAAAACATCTTTGAAGTCTCTTTGAAGTAAAGGCAGTTTAGTAATCTAACATAAGACACCACTAGGCAAAGCTTCATTTGAAGGTGCCTGTTCTTTATCAATGACGTGATTTTCAATAATGGATATGACAGATACACGTTTCAGTTTTGAAATGCACAATAAGCCTTAAATTCATTCACTATTTGAGATTTCAAATTTAACACCCACCCTCTACCCCCAACCAAGGGAGACCATGCCATGTGTGATCTGAGCAAGGTTAGGAAACAGAATAGAATAGGAGAAAAAAACATTACCTCCAGAGAGGATAAATCCTTGAAAAAATCATTGCTGTACTCATTGGGTTAGAGACAGGACATATTTCAATGTATTTTCTGTGTTCTATATATTTTGCCTCATTAGATTCTTTGCTTCAATGTGTTCATTTTAAGACAGAAGCTCTCTGGAGCTAACAAAGTTTGACTAATGTATATTCTCTTATTACACAATAAAAATTCTCCTGTGAACTGCCCAGGGCAATTCCAAATCCAAGGGAGAAAAACACATTTAGAAACGGTTTTTGCCTTTCTATAAGGGTACCTAGATGGCAGGCACTAAAGTTGAATTTAAACCCTAACCAAAGGTTGAAAATTAAACTCAAGCCACTCACTGAGAATTGGATACATCAGAAGGACTTTTCTCCTGTAAATGTCTGGTGGGAACTTGGCATAATATACTTTGGCTCTTTGTGTCTCCTCATCACTCTGAATCAGGATCTTTCCAATTCGTATGGATCGACAGCAGTCTCGTAAACCTTGTTCCATTGCCTCACCTTGAAGAAGGAAATAAAAAAGAAGGATAAAAGGGTTAAGGGGAGGTAGAGTGAAAGTCCAAGAATAGGCCAAAGCACAGTTTGTAACTGTTCTTAATACAAAAAGGACTTGTCAAGACGGAAGCAATTCTTAAGCTAATGGCTTTACTTCTGATATGCTCATATTTTATACTTAGTGCAGGTCAATGAAACTAGGTTAACGGCTGGTCAATGAAACTAGGATAAGCTTAGTTTTATCACTGACTTGCAAGATTTAGAGCTGTCATGCTTCCATGATTATAGGAAATAAAGTGTTTTGTTAAGCTGCTCCTTGAGCTTTTCCCATATCAGGAACATTTTACTCCTATTATTTTAAGGAAGCCTTTAAACCACCTAAACCTGTTAATTTCATCTGAAAAAATAGAAAAGATTTATGGAAGAATGGGGTCTACAGACCAAAGCATCTCCTTTTAGATCAAGGTAGCATCAGGAGACATCACTTAGCCCCAGCAATGACTTCAATGGCAGATGTTTTGCTGGCAAACAGTGAAAAACTAGTATATTGTTCCCTCCACTCTAATAGAACCACAACTAACACCACCACCCCCCCACTGTTGGTTTCTGAATACAAAGCTAATTTTGAGTGTGAATTCCTTTATGGAAGTGTTTGCCAAAAGTCAATCATTCTCACACCATCTTCAAGATTGTAGGCCACATCAGAATTCTACTTGTACTGTTATTTTTCTTTAAATTAACTTTTCATTTACATTTGTTTTAAGAGGAAACTTTATATCACTAGCATAAACATAAAAATGGTTTCTTTCTAATATATATGAAAATCAACCAATAGCTATTAAGGTTAAAAACAACCCTGTCTATGCATCTCCCCAAGGTCATCTGGTACACACGAGGGGTTCAAGGACCAGGCTGATGCCTTTAGGGCAGGAGCTGGACTGGAACAGAAGAAATTGTGCCTTAAAGGCTCATCTCTATTGTGTTCACCAGTTTTAAAAGGTTGAACAACATTGTCCTGAAAATCCTATCATTGTGTAAGAGTTACCATCTATAAAAAAGGGAGCTTAAAGCTCCTATTTTACTTGAGGTATTCAATTGTTCACAAACAGAACTTCATAGCCAGAAGAGAAAGGGGAATGTTTATACATTAAAAAAAAAGTAGTCCATTTGTCTGCAGTACAAGCAAGTGGGGCTTCCACCGTATCTTGGATCTTATGTAAAAAATAATTAGTTCATTCATTAAGTTGCTAAATGGAAATAAGCATCCCTACGTGATTTTGCTGCACAAAGGTTGGTTTAGAAGGGTAATCAGTTAGACTCAAACACAAATACAACACTTATAAGACCAGCAATTGGAAATACCTAGAGTTCACAGCTAAGTGCTTTTGCCTACATGGTCACATACTTATCAAATGTAAAACTAAAATACTGAACAAGTCATTCAGTCCAGCCCCTGACAAGGTAGGACTATTCCCTACAAAAAAAATAAACAGAACAAATATTTTCTCTAGTCAGGTATTTAAAGTTCTGCAGGCCTCAATTTGTGCCATATTCTGTCAGTCTTCAAGCTGCCCTGTTCTCTCCAAGATAGCATCACCTCATCCTCCTATCCTCCCACCCTCCCTTGAATCTCTTTGAAAGCTGGCTTGCCCATGGGGGCAGGCCACTAGGGAAGATGCATTGCAGTTAAAATTAGCCAAGCTCAGCAATGTACAGGCCACAATTCTGAGGCACCATGAAGATAGACAACACAGGTGGTGAGATTTAAGCTAAGGCAGGCTGCAATTATGACAGACAAGCCCACCTCTCTCCTGGAAAAGGGCAACTGTTTCTATGCATGCAAAGAGACAAAATCACACATATGCAAACCTACCGCTTCTCATTATGCTGACCCCACAATTTCCCTTCTCAAATTTGACTCCTTCATACTTGTACCCTGTTGGGGAATAAAACCAAAGAATTTATCTTTCATCATTGGAGCAACCTAGTTATTTTATAAAATGCCTATGGTTCAAACCAGATGGGTACACAACAACCCTTGTCTAGACACACACAGGTTAGATACACTAATAACTCCTTAGGTTCCCTGTGAAAATAATGAGAAGAGTCATGATTTTTCAGTTATTTCTTAATTCTTCATAAGAAACCTGTGGCAATAATGGGGAGAGGTGGACTTCATCAAGTGGAAATAGGACTTATGATAGCATAATATTCACATACATGTTCCTCAAATTGAATTTAGAGGAGAATCATTGTACTCCAAGAATGCTATAAACACCATCAATTCAAACTGGGACCCCACTGTGAACCAGAGCAGAGAGCCTCCCCATTCCATCCCTTTTTTTCAGCCTCTATTCTGCTTTAAAAAAGCAGGAGAGGCTGAAGTAGTTAACCAAGACTTGTTCAATTCTTGGTCTCATCCTTAATTTGTATCAATTATGATGCAGCAAGCTCAGCTCCCAATTTTCATAAAGTCAACGTTTGAACAGAACAGCTTCCATTATTTACTAAAGAACCAAATCAGAATTGCAAAACCATGAAATAGGAATCTTTGGCTGCTTTCTATTAGAGTAGAACAAAGCACCTTCTCTAATTCTCATCCTTTTTAGTTTTTTCTTTTTTACTTCTCATCCTTTTACCTGGAGTTTCAATGCCAAACCAGCCCATCCATTTGTTAACACCAGCAGCTTCCCCACAGAGGTGGAAGATAAGCTGCCAACAATTCTTAACTCTGGTCCCAGTGGGCCATCATCAAAGGCAACACCTGCGTGAAGAATATTTACTAACCTTTAACTTGAATTGACAAGCAAGCCATTAACAAAAAGTCATCCAGATAAATTTCTTTACTAAATGTCTCCAAGTTTATTAAGTTGTATAAAAGAACAGCTCCACCTAGACTCCTCATTTTGCATACTGATTTACTCAGACTGCTTTCTTTCCATTTCCCCCCAATTCTATCTCAGAATTTTTATGAGGAGAATATGCGAGTTTAACAGTCCTGGTTACCTGTTGGAGTGGTCACCATGCATTCTTTATATGGCAGCTGATTCAATCCCTCTTCCACAACAAGTCTGATCTAGAGAGTCAAAGGAAGAATAAGTTAAGAACCTGCTAAGAATCTCCTTTTAGCTGTTAGCCTTAGGAGCTGAACACTAGGCAAAAAGTCAGTAACACACTAGGATTTAGCTTATGGAGGTAGGAAATATCGGGCTGCTTGCTGCTAGGTATCCAACCTCAGTTAGGCACATGATTGCCACCAAAAAGCTCAAGTATGCCTTCTGCTTCTTAGTCAGTCCAGGCTATATTATGAGAGATGCAAGACTACAGTAAGTGACAAGAGTCATGGTAGGCACCCTTGGAAATAATATACTTCTGGTTACTCTGGAAATAGTACCCACTGGGAACTTCTCTGCCTTGTTCAGTACTTTGAAGTTGTTAAGTTGGATTCTTTTTAACAAAGGCCCACCATAATGCAAATAAAGCCTGGAACTTCTTAGGAGGAACTAAATGAGTGGATACGGCTGAACCAATTTACTGAGCTTGAAGTAGGATCTAGTTGAATGCACTGGGGCTTCCTAGCTAAAAAAAAAGGAAAGGCTCCTAACTATCTTAATGTGTGGTACAGAGGAAAGAATCTGTCAGAACTACTAGAAACAGCCTCCAAAACCCAGATATGATATTCTTATAAGCACCCAGAGCCTACTACAATAAAGGCAATCCCTAGTCTGCAGTGCACATTTTCTCTAATGAATATCACATTATTGATTGAGAAGCAAGAATAGCAGGGAGAAACGTCAGGCCCCATGCTTTGTTACCACAACATAACACCCTGCTGCCATTAAAATGATCAATGCTAAATGGGCCAGCACTTTGTCAGCCTGCAGCACCAGAGGGTCCAGGAATCTCAAATACTGTATGTGTGTGCACACTCACATCTAGCCACCACCTCCTGTGGAAGTGAATGTTTCTTATGAGTAAATTGCAAGGGAAGAAGAGGATCTTTTGCTTTGAAGAGCCTAGATCTCCTCCTGGTAACACTCCTCTAAAGAGTCTTACCTCCTCCCATCTCCTGCAACCGTGGGACAGAAATTAACATGTCCAAATCTTATAGGAGAAAATAAAACCAGAAGAAAGGTGACTAAAATATAAAAAAACTCAAGATCAGAGTACAAGGAAAGCCAATCCTGACAAATTCAGGATAGAATTAATGTCAACTATACTAGGACCCTTGTGCTAGAAGAGAGAGTATACTAGAAATCCTCAACACTAGAAACCTAAACAGGGGGCCAGCCCGGTGGCGCAAGCAGTTAAGTGCGCGCGCTCTGCTGCGGTGGCCCGGGATTCGCTGGTTCGGATCCCAGGCGCGCACAGACGCACTGCTTGGCAAGCCATGCTGTGGCGGCATCCCATATAAAGTGGAGGAAGATGGGCACGGATGTTAGCCCAGGGCCAGTCTTCCTCCAAAAAGAGGAGGATTGGCAGAT